TTATTCAGGGGATTGATTCCTCCCAGCTCTGGGTTAAACCAGAAGAGCCCCCTCCACTCGGAGGCAGCAGGGTCTGGGAGTAGCACATTAGTTATCTTTCCAATTTGCAGAGGCTCTTTCATCCATCAACGTGGGAAGAATCGGGGCGAGTCTGGAGCCAGTTGGTGCTGCAGCCATTCTTTAAGAGGGGACGTCCCCTCCCAGAGGAGGCAGGGGCAGTCCTCAGCTCTAGAGATGGGGGTGGGGGATCCAAGCCCGAAATGGGCACCGGTTCCCAGAGGTCAGCCGCTCTCTCAGTCCTCTCCTTAATGACTCTCGGTTCCCAGGTGTCTCCCGACTGAGTTTAGCTCCACATCTATGTGCCTCTCTACTCTACTCAGCACTGGGGATGCTGCCAGCTGCAGTGGCCCTTGGTACCCTGCTCCTACTCTCTCCCAAACTCCTGGGGAAATGCTGTTCATAATCCCCACACGCAGTCATGGTGGGGAGTGAGGACTGGAGCAGCTGCCAGGAAAGGATGGACTCTCACACTGGAGAAAGATGGCACTTGTACACTGAAATCTCTTTGATATGCTGTGTGGCCAGGGACCAGTAACTGAATCTCTCTGAGCTTTAGTTTTCACGTCCTTCAAATGAGGAAAATAATGCCTATGTCACATAACACTTATGCAAAGATCCAAAGAGCGAGTGCATATAAGGGGCCCAGCACAGCATTTGACGTGAAGTGAGTCCTCAGGAAGTGTGGGCAGTTATGAGGTACAGAGGAGTCTGTGAGGGATAGTGTGGACCAAGGGCCACATGCCGGCTCGGAAGCCCAGAATTTACAGCTTCTCTTCCCAGCTGTGCTGTGAACATTATAGCTACAGTGAAAAGTCATTCGACCAAGAAACTTTGATTATTTGGACGTGTATTGAGTGTTTTTTATTATCATTAGTAAGCCAGTATAACCTAGAGCTCAGATTCTGGAGTCAGAGAAAGAGTTCAAACCCTAGCTTGGCCTCTAGACACCGGACTTTTCAAAGTTTCATTTGCTTCCCGTGTAACAAGGGAGTGATAACAGTTGTGAAGTCAGATGTTGTGAAGGTTAAGTGGGATGGTGCTTGGCATACAGAAAGCCTTTCAGCAACGTTACTACAAAAACTAGGTGTGGTGCAATGGGAAAGACTCCAGATTTGAGATCAGAAGCCCCGGGTTTCATCTACTGCCATCTCTTACTCTGTTATCTTGGGCAATCCACTTCACCACGGAGTCTGTATTTCTCAGTCTACAGAAAGGGGATCACGTCACCTCGTTTTAGTTTGCCATGAAGAAAGCTTAACATTCGGCATAAGAAGGATTCTCAATATTTACATGATGAATGAATGAATGATGTGGAAAGATTTTAGGATTTGGATTCAGAGAACTTGGACCGGCATCCCAGGTTTATCACTTACTTTCTGTGTGGTTTGGGACAAGTGACTTCACCTCTCTGGACCTTAGATTCTTCCAGTATAAGATAGGATAATAATACCTTACCCCCGCCGCCACGGGCATTATGGCAGAACAGACAGTTAATATCAAAATGCCTCATAAACCGTAGGGCACCGTGCTCACTCTAGTTTAATACTGCTTTGTGCAGAGCCCTGGGAGAGGAACTGGGAGGGGTCTGAAGGTATGCAAAGTCCTTGGACCTAGCCCTAGAGGAGCTGTGATAGATTTGGGGAGAGAAGGCACAAAGCAGGGGGCAGCACTACACAGAGAGTCCCACACATTCATTGATGGCACACATTTACGGGGCACTAGGCATGCTTTCGAAGGAGTGTTACAGGTTTTAGGTTAGGTCTGATGGAGGGGCCTTGAAGGTCAAGGTAAGGCTTCTGGATTGACTGCTCTGAGGTTCGAGGTCTCAGGAAGCTCGTACGCCATCTCTGCCCCTGAGCTCCCCGGTGGGGCAGGCCTCTGCTTCACTGAATCACTTTGCTCAGTCACCCTCTGAGGGAGGAATGTGCACTGTAAGGAGAGCGTTTGAATCAGCCATTCAGCGGGTGGCCCCTCCCCAAAGGTCAGTGGCCTATCTGGCCACCGCAGCTGGTGGCCACAAAAGACTTGCCGAGAATCCAATCTAATGGAGGGACAAAGTCTCCAGCCACTCTTCCTGGGAGCGGGGAGGGTGAGTTGCAAGGTGATTTCGCTGCTGTCGCAATCTCCCTTCAGACATAGGCTGTCCTCGAGGTCAAAAATAGCAGCTTCAGAGGCAGGACAGTGATGTGACATCATCCCTAGGTTCAGCTAGCAAACCCCTCTCCAGCCAACTGATCCCGCTTGTCCCTTGGAGTCTAGGGCCAAGGTCCTAGGGGATGACTTTGGTGGCCCTGGGTCCCTTCCAGCCCCCTGGGTCCAATTCTGAGCTCTATCTATGAACAGGAATCCCCCCAGCTCCATTGTTTCCCCTGGCAAGGAGGAATGCTCTCAGTAGCGCACTGTGGCTGGGCCCACGCCCACCTCCACCTCCCCAGGGCTGAGCGCCGCAGACCTGCAGGGGCCTGCAGCCTCTCCGGGCCAGGAGCACACAGGCTGGGCTGGAAATGCTGAGGATGGCACCTGGCCTGGAGGCTGAGTAGAGGGGAAGACATTCTGCAGTCCCTGGGAGGTGGGAGGGAGGGAGGGAGGGCTCTATGCAGACAGACTAGAGGAGTTTGTGCATAGCTCTGTGTGTGTGTGTGTGTGTGTGTGTGTGCGCGCACGCGCACGTGCGTGTGCTTGTCCTGCAGCAGAAGATGGCAGGAATGGGGATTCTATAGCCTCTACTGATTAGAAGGGTTTTGAAATTGATAAATTACTTTGTATTGGGGCAAAATGATTTGACTAGATTTCAAATGTCTCAGAGAAGGGAAGCTTCTCTTGGGCCAAGTATTGATTGCATTTAATAGAGCTGGGACTTTCTCACTTAAAAACAACAAAATAAACATCTAAGAGAAGGCAGTAACTCACCTCTCTTTCTCTCTCTCTCTGTCTCTCTCTCTCCTCCTTCCCTCTCTCCCTTCTCTCTAAGAACAGGAAGGGATCGAGAGACCCACCCAAGGCAGGGGTGAGGGTGGGGGTAGTAGGCACAGTGCTGAAGTCAGAGGCATGGAGTTTCTTTAGGGCAGACTGATGGTGGGGGCTTGGGAGAACAGGGGCCCTAGGTTGGTCCCATTCTTCACAGATTGATTTTCTTTGCCAAACAGTGACTGTCAGAGCCTTTGATAAATCACTAACCCAAGTGACAAATGCCCTGAGGCTGGGTGGGGTGGGGGAAAGGATGCTAGTCTGGGAGGTAGCCTGGGGAAGGAGAGGGATGAGGATGGAATGCTGGTGGGCAGAGGTAGCCAGCTGAGTTAAAGCTGAGTTCTAGAAATTTTGTGAGATACCCTCAGCTAGCTAATCTTGGCCTTGTCTCTCAACAGGAGTTGACCATAATCATTAACTCAACACTGCTTCAAAATTCATTTTCAGTCTGTCTCTTGTCTGTCTCTTGCTGTCTGTCTCACTGTCTGCCTCTTTATCTGGCTTCCAAATGGACTCTGATGGTTTCCTCCCAGGAGAGGATTCCCTTGGGCCTGCTGGAAAATGGAAAGGAGTGTGGGGAAGCTAGTAGCAAGCAGGGGCCTGGCAGTGGAAAGTGGGAGGAGAGGGGGAGTTGGCCTCTTAGAATGGGAGGAGGTGAGGACCTTGTGCCGGCAGGGAGAGGGAGGGGGAATGAAGATAAGAGTTTGTAGACCAGCCTGGACAGAGAGAAGCTGGTTTCCAGGGCATCTTATTTCTCAGGGAGGGAGCGGTCACATCATGTGTTCTCTCATCCCTCTCCCCAAAGCAGTGAGAGCAGAGACCTGCCTTGATTGGGCTCCCTGAGGAATAGCAAGAAGTGTGGAGAGGAAGAGAGACCAACCCAGAGCCACAGAACCGATCTCTCCCCATGGCCAGAGCCTGCCTTGGAGGCAGCCCAGCTCATAGATCACGAGTCTGAGTCAGCTCTGGTTGACCTTGGACATGTGACTTCGCCTCACTTACCTTCTGGTTTCTCGTCTATAAAATGGGATAATATCATAGATTTGCAAAAGGTTTATATTAATTAAGATCACGTGTATAAAGTGCTTAGAACAGAGCCCGGCCCATAGTAAGTATTCAGTAAATGTCAGCTGGGAACATTATTATTCTCCCTGGTAGCAGCATGGCAGATTCTGAAGTCATGAAAACCCAAAATGTGTCAGCCATTCTGCAGTCAAGAGACGGGACTCCTGGCTCTGCTTGAGGGTGGAGAATTCTACCCATATTAGCGATCTATAGGCCAAGCTGTGTTCTATCCCTGACCGCACTGTCAGTGCCGATGCGCCATGGGCTGAAGCGCCACTGCCTTCTCTGTGAAGTCAGCTGGAACCTAGCCCTTGAGAAGCCTGCCAGGCCCCTGGCCGGCCATGGGGCGTCTGCTCACAGGAGTTGGGCTTGGCTCCTCCTTACCGACGACCATGCCGACAGCCACTCCCAGGCTCCCAGCCCTGTCCCTGTCCATGGTGCTAACTTAGCCACCACTTGCCACAGCAGAACTCACCTCAATCATCCCCTCTTGTCCCCCAACTTCAACATCTCTGATGATCTCCCCAGTCACCAGGAATGAATTCTGAGCTCACGTTCTGGAACGCTGCCAGGAAGAAGGAAGCGGCGTTAGTATAAAGAATCACACAAAAGGCCGCAGGTAATTATGTCTCTTTTAAGCTGCTAACAGGATTGGCCGTTTGATAAATGGGAGGATTTGAGGCTGTTTTGTCACTGACAAGCTGTTGTAAGATCATATTGGAAGCTGAAGACTGTTTATCTTCATGTGTGTGGTAGAGAGGGGAATTCTCGGTGGATTTTACACCCTCTTCAAATTAATATGATTTCCTAGGCCGGTCCTGTGCACAGGAGTGAATGATCTTTATGACTCACCCCTGATTGTATTACCTGGCTCAGCAGCTACCTCCAGCCCCTCTGAGTGCCCTCTCCCTCCCTTGGCCCCTCCCTGCTCCCATCCCTCCAGCTCCCCCTCTGACCTCCCTACTCCCCTCCTCTATCTCTGCTCTCAGATCCAGCAGCTAAGCAAACCAGAGGCTCAATTACTGCTGGCTACCCCGAGAGGCAGAGGGATCTGGTTTCTTCCACTTCTCTGGAGGGAGCAGAAGAGAGGGAGGTGGGGTGGGAAGGAAGAGGGAGGCAATGGGAGAGGGAGGGAGGGAAGCAGAGGAAGAGAGAAGAAACGAGACAAAGAGGGATTTTAACCAGAGGAACAGAGAGTCAAGCTGAGGTAAAGAAAAGAAAGAGAGAAGAGACAAAAACAGTAGCAAAGGGAGAGGAAGGGTTTTTTTTCCCTTCATTTCCAGAACCTTATTCTCCACAAGCACCAGGGCAACCTCCTTTCCTGAACCCCAGAATTAGCAGGTCCTGGGGCATTTTCTCAGATAACACTGTATTATCATCTTCACAGCACTAACAACTATTGTTAATTTATTTATTTGCGTCTATAATATTTATCCTCACTCCTGAATTAGAAGATCCATGAGGGCAGGGCTGCCATGTTCTTCTCAGGACCCAGCCCCTAATAGGTCCTTGGTGAGTGTTTATTGACTGCATCCTGTGCCAGGTCTGAAGGGGCAGGGTTGACTTGCCCTCCTGGCCGAGGGTCCAGGGTCCAGGGTTGGGTCATCAAGGATACCGTCACTGGCGGGATTTGGGGAGACATTTCTGGGGAAGGGAATGCTTCAGGAGTTCTTTGGACAGAATCAGATTTCCTCTGGGACAAAGCTTTTCCCACTGCACCAGAGTCCCCGGGCAACCTGCATTTTCACAAGTATTCCACATGATTCTGATGCAGTAGGTCTGAAGTTCACACTTCGAGAAGCACTATTCTGGGGAATGGGTGAGCTGAGGGCTCCTGCTCCAGTGGGACCTCAGCAGAACCAGGGATCTAAGCTGCTCAGTGTGTGTTTGTGTGTGTGTGTGTGTGTGTTGGAAGGATAGTGGTTGGAATACCTATAGCAGAATGAGGAAGCTAAAATCCATTATTTCCAGTCAGGTGCCACCTCATTCTACACACACACTGGGAGCTACTTGTGGGGGAGTCCCCAAGTTCAAAGGAAGGGATCAGCCTGCTGGGGGCAGTTTCCCCACCAGACCCAGGACCCTAGAGGAAGAAGAGGACAGCAACAGATGTGAGGAGGAGAAGGAGCCCTCCCTGCCCGTGCCCAGGAGCCTTTGCTCCCCCACCCACTGAAGGCTGTGCAGCCGGTAAGTCATGCCTCATTTCCCAGGCAAGCTGTGCACCCACCCTCAAGCCCCAGGCCAGGCTCCCTGCCTCTTCAGGGGACCTCCCCCAGACTTGTCAGCAATGTATGCTCCAGGATTGATCAACTGCTACCCCGGCATATGACCCCCCAACACACACCCCAAATGTCACAGTTCCATCATACAAGACACAAGCAGGGCTTGCACAGAACACCTGAAATACAGCCCTAGGTGCTCAGAGGTGAAGGAGAGTGTGCCTGGGCTGTGGGACAGCCTGGATATGTTCATGCTGGACCTCTGCCTGGGCCTGAGAACAGGGAGGAAGAGTATGGAAGACAAGGCCCAGCCAGTTTAAAAAGATGGCTCACCCTATGCCACTTCTGCCCTGTAATAAAGCACATAGATAGAACTACCAGCACCTCCTTTCACTCTGCGCTTCAGCAACTCTGGCCTTAGTTCACGCCTGGAACACTCCCTGCTCTCTGCTGGCTCAGTAGCTACCTCACTCATGCAGTTCCCTCTGCCTGTGATACTCTTTTACACTCTTCCATCCCTTTTATCTGACAACTCCTCCGTCTATTCCTTGGTGAGTCTTTCCAGATCCCCTGCCTCTGCTACTAGGGCTCTCCATGCTTTACTCAGCACCCTTGTCATCACAGCTGTGTGTTGCTTAATGACAGGGATACATTCTGAGAAATGGGTCCTTAGGCGATTTTGTCATTGTGCGAACATCGTAGTGTGTACTTACCCAAACCTAGATGGTATAGCCTACTACACACCCAGGTTATATGGTACTAATTTTATGGGACCACCGTCACATATGTGGTCTGTCACTGACCAAAACATCATTATGCCACGCATGACTATGTATTCAGTGTCTGTCTTCCATGCTAGACCGTGAGCTCCATGGCAGAAGGGCCACACCTATGTGCCATGTCCACTGCCATATCCCTGGCACCACCACCCATAGTGCCTGGCACATGGTGGGCACTCAGCCGGGAAGACTGTGGCTTAGAGTCATGTGTTTCAATAAGTGGTTCTTGAGCATCTGTTGTGTCAGGCACAGTACTGGATCCTGAGGATGCAATGGCAGGCAACCAGGCACCGTCCCTCACAGAGGCTGCAATCTGGCAGAGGGATAGATAGCTGTCAAATAATCATACAAATTACTGTAAAATTGCAACTGTGACAGGTGCTTTATAGAAGTTTATGGTGCCAACAGGAGTACATTAAAAGGGAGTTTGGTCAATTTAAGTAGGTCAGGGAAGTTTCCTGAGACAGTGCTATTTCTCTGAGATAAAGAAGATTGTGTAGAGCATCAGTGGAGGAAAGAGCGTTCTGGAGAGACAGAACAGCATGTGCAAAGGCCCTGTGGCAGGAAGGAGTATGGCTTCTACAAGGAACTAAAAGTCCAGAAGGTCTGGAGTGTGTGGGGTGAATGGGAGACTAGAAAGCAGGCAGAAGCCAGACCATGCAGGGCCTTGTCAGGTGAGGTAAGGAATGTATTTCTTCATCTAAGAGTTTAAACACTGAAGAGTTTAAACAGCAGGGGGTCAGGCATAGGCAGCAGTGGTGTAATCAGAATTGCATTTTGAAAAGGTCATTCAGGCTTCAGTATGAAGAAGGAAGGGAGGGGCTTGAGTGGAGCCAAAGAGACCAATAAGTGGTGTGTTGCAGCCATCCACGCTCGGTCCATGAAAGTGCAGGTGGAGACCGAGAGTAGTGGACAGCTTTTGAGAGAAAGTTTTCAAGCAACACCATGGGTTGGTGGCAAAACTAGGACTATACCCATCCCCACTTTCACACTTCCCTGCAGCTGTTGGCCTCCTTCTGGGATGTCCAGTGGGCTACCATAAAGAGGTTGTTCTCAGGCTTCCCTCAGAAGTATCCCCTGCTCTCTGGCCCCCACGCTCCCACATTCTGTACTGTGTCCCCCTGGGGTGCCCATATGTGTCCTCTTCCAAGCTGGAAGGCTCTGGCTGGACACCCGTCTAGGAGGTAGGTTTCTCTTATAGCCCCAGGTGCTTTGCATTCTGGGAATCGTAGTTCTGGAGCGGGAAAGTTGGGTCTGCTCCTGACTGTGGGTCTGGCAGGCAGCCTTGTTGCCATGGCAGCAGCTGGGCTGGAGCCACCGAACCATTTCATCCACAGCTCTGCTGGCTCTGAGAGCCTCCCAGCAAGAAAGCTTGGGCTCTGGGGAGGCGGGGGGGAGGAGAGAGAGAGAGAAGAGAAGGGAGGGAGGGGGGGACCTCATGGGCCTTCCCCAGAGGCCTGGGCTAAGCCTCGCCCTGCTCTGGGGCTTGTGGCCTGAGTCGGAGAGAAGTCACCAACTCATCCTCGGAGCAGGACTGCCCGACCACTGGGAGCCAGTTCTGCTCCTCTGTTCTTGTCAGTCAATCAGACCCTGTAATTCAGTTCTGTGACTGCAGAAGCCTGCATCAGACACAGAGGAAGGAGGGAGCAGCCCCCTTCCCACGGGCCCTGGGAGCCTGGGGAGAAATGTCCAAACTAATTACTTAGGAAGGAAAAAGTCCTGTCCATTTTTCCTCCAAAATGTCCCCAGAATCCATTCCCTCCTCTCTGCCCCTTGGCCACAGTCCTGGTTCATTTTATCTCCCCAGGAGAAGGCTTTCTAAAACACAAATCTGGTCCTGTCACACCCCTGCTTAAAATTCTTCAATGGCTCCCCTTTGCCCACGACTGGATCAAGTCCAAACTCTCTAGTAGGACCATTCACAGCGTTGCAAATTCTGGCCTGAGGCTCTGTGTCCAGTTTCTCCCCTGACTCCCCTCTGCTCCAGCCACACAGAAGTTTTCTGGTTCCCCTTTCATACCTCCTGCCTCCACACATGCTCTCCTCTGCCTGAAATGCCCTTCCCTCCCTCTTCCAACCTCTGAGCCGACCAAACCCAGCTGCAACACCTCCTCCTTGGTGAAGTCTTCCAAAATCCTTCTCCGCCAGGGGAAGCCTTAATGGCCTGGTGCTCTGAGCTCCCAGAGCACTTTGTACTTCCCTCGCAAGCACTTATCACCATGTTGTGATTATTGCCTCTGTAGCTGCCTCTCCCTCTCTCTCTCTCCTGCATCCGAGCCATCCCGGGGGCCCCAGTGCCCAGCACAGTGTTTGGCACAAGGTAGGCACTCGATAAATGGTGAATGGGACTGAATTCACCAAAGGAAGGCTGTTTAGGCTGTCACCACCCCCCACTCCACCCCCCTTACCGGGCTTGCCGCCTCTCCTTGGCCCCTTCCTCCCTGCTCCTCCCGTGAGGCCACACACCTTGCACACTGCAGAGGACTGGCAGACTCTATGGAGCGGCGTCTTCTATTCTGGGCAAGGGTGGCACAGGTGCCTGCAAGTGGAGGCTGCAAGCCTCCCCGTGTCACTGGGAATGTGTATCAAGTCACACCAGGTCTCCAGAGAGGAGGCACCGTGTCTTAAATGGAGCCATGATTTATGGACCCGGCTCCAGGAGCTGGGAAACCAATTAGGCTTCCCTGCTTCTCCACCTGGAGGCAGGATATTTCCAGGAAAGCCCTTCCTCCTGGGCAGAGGCTCCACTGCCTTGAGCCGCAGCCCTGAGGCTTCCCCATCCAGCCCCCGACCCTACCCCTATCACCAACCCCCTGGTCAGTAGCTCCAAGTCTCCTGGGCCAGCTTTCCTTGTATTAAAATCCCGACTCTAATAGTTAACATTTGGGAAGCCTTTTCTTGTTTCATCCTGAGTCTCATTTCCCCATCACAATAAGAGGATAAAAAAGCCTGCCTAGATCATTCATTCATTTGTGTACCCATCCATCCTTCCTTCCACTCACACATTCCCTTCCATGAAGACTTATTAGGTACCTTCTGCGGGCCAGGTACTAAGTTAATCACTCAGGATGCAGAAAAGAATCAGAAAGACACAGTCCCTGCCTTCAGGGAGCTTGCAGTCTGTAAGGAAGAGCAACCTTGAAGCGTTTCGAGGCAAAAGTGCAGACTGTTAAGTAGAGTCCAGGCCTAACCTTGGACCTCAATACTTATTTCCTCAATGGCGATTTACTGTGCGCCTGTGATACGGCTGGCATGGAGGATAAGCACAAACGCAGCCCGGCTCTCCTCTCACTCGGCTCCTGTTCTCAGTGCAAACAGAGACAGACATAGCCTAGGGAGGACTTAGAACTCACTGCATACTACAGCTGTGAGAGGGCTGGGAGAAAGAAGTGTGCAGACTCTGCAGCTGAAAACAGGGGGTCCAGACACCCCAGGGCCCCAGAGAGAATTCGCTGAGATGAGAGGCGGGGTCCTCTGCACCCAGTAGAGGTGAAAACAAATGGACAGGGCCTTGATAGGACTTACTGGGCTGGGGCAAGAAGCAGCCTTCCCTGATTAGCGTATGGGGATGATGGAGCAAGGGGATCTCACAGAGAGAGGGTGAGAGACGTCAGGAGCACCAGGCACACAGGGCCTGGAGAGGGTGGTGGATTCCAGAGCACGGGGAAGCTACTGTGTGGCTGCCTCAGCCCATGCCCCTCATTCAGGAGCACTTTTATTTTCTCTATTCTGGAAGCAGCAGGAAGAGCCTGGACCAGGTGTCAGTGTAGTAAGGGGGTAGGGAGAGCAGAGGCCGGCGTGGCAGCTGGTTCAAGCGTTGGCCTTACTGCAGCCCCTAATGCCGGACCCACAGCCTGAACTTCTCCCCAGGCCCTCTCTCTGTGACCTGGGCTCCTGGAAATCACTGTCTTGACTCAGGGGGTACAGTTTCCAGGGTTTGGAGGAAGACCGGAAGTAAGAGAGTGGGGAGCTGGGTGAGTGGAGATCCATCACCAATCCTCAGTGTTTCCAGAGAGAAAAATCACCAGCTTGTTTTGTGAGTCTGGGTCTCAACTCCCCCATCTACAAAACGGCGGGGTTGGACTAGCCCTAAAGGCTCATCGGTGCCTGTTCCTTCTGCTGTTGGCAACAGGGAGATGGTGGAGGGAGGTTCTGCAGAGAACGGCTGGCTCCACCCTCTGCCAAGGGA